AAAAAAAAAAAAAAAAACACGCTTTCCTGTCTTCCAAAATAAATAAATAAATAAATAAATGATCGACAATGGCCACATCAAGAAACTACTTTTAATACGTAAATTTACATTAAAATACAATAATAATATAATCCATAATGACCACTCTCAAGAAATCTATATTTAATAAGTATATTTATGTAAAGTAAATTAATGATCTACATGTAAATGGCCACACTGAATAAATAATATTTTATGAAATAAAACTCTATCTAATAAAATAATTTCTGTGTATAGTTTATTAAAATAATTTTGTGAGTGTGGCCATATAGATCATTCCATTTATTTTTTTCGCTTTTTCATTTTTAAGCCAATCAGGTCTGTGATTTTTCAGCCAATCAGATCGGTGTCCCTAAATTCAAGTTGCCTTCGTGATCACGACGATTCACGCTTTAGCTGCCGAAGACCGCCATCACTAGGCAAGGCATACTCGTACATATTCGTATATTCAGCCATGGACTCTCAGCACCACTTGGCCATGACAGGCGAATTCCTTCCTACCGGCGTAGACCTGCACGCGATGGCGGCCGTGCAGCCGCTTCCGCCGTCAGTAAATACTAGCATGGGAATGGCAGTGCCCGCGCCAGGAGACATGCTCACGGACGTCAAATTAGGCCCCGATCCAGCGTCGCCAGCACCATCGTCCGTGTCTTCAAAGGAGAAATGGCAACAAAAACGTCACGTGTGTGATACACCCGACTGCGGCAAGAGCTTTGACTCCAAGTGGGCTCTCATCCGGTACGTTATAGTTGATGTTGTGGTGCTTGGGAAGAAATAAACCTGATCTGTGTTTACTACCGCAATTTTGTAGACACATTCGCGTACACACAGGTGAGAAGCCGTTCCCATGCACATACCCGTCATGCGATAAGTCATTTGCCGAGAAATCGGCCATGACGCGGTACGTTTTTGCACTTGTTAAACGGATCTTGAGGGGTTGTAGACTTCAAGCGAACTGATTCGTGCATGTGTGGGTTGTTGGCAGTCACCTGCAGACGCATTCACGGGATAAGCCGTACAAGTGCACGTATGCGGACTGTACCAAGAGCTTCAAGGGCAAGGACTATCTAGAATTCCACTTGAAAATCCACGCGGAAGGCAATCCTTACGCCTGCGACCATCCGACGTGCTCCAAGACTTTCTGCAGCCCGAAGAGTCTAAAGAAGCACATCAGGCTGTGGCACAATCCCGGAGGCAAGAGCACCTCCATGGAGCAGCAGCTCAGAGAGCGCATCATCAAGATGGCTACACGCAATAAGGAGAAGACGCGCAAGTTCGAGTCGACTATTCGAACGTTGATGGAGGAGAACGAGTCTCTGAAGAGGAGGATTGTCGAACTCGAGAGTCTTCAACATCAGCAACAGCAGCTACACCAGCAACAACAACGATTGTAGCTCCAGTGCGATCTCTCGGTCTGTGGAACCTCGTGAGGATGCGAACTGTACAGTGATTTATTGGAGACGGAGGGGAAACGTGAGACCGAAGGAACGAGCACAGTATGCGTTTAGTGTGTGCATTTCATAGTCAATTATTGGGCGAGAAACAGCTAGCAGTGAAAATGATCGCATGAGGGCTTGAAGAGTAGAGAAACATAAGATCTTTCACTAATCGAACATGAGTTTGAGACCATCCAGCTCGATTTGTTCAGCAGTACGACAAAAATATTGTTGTAAGCTGACGGATTAGATATACGCTGATCTACACGTGTGGGAGATGAAGGCTTCATTTCGATATTGAATAAACTACCTGAGCGAAGAAACGAAGGAAACAATCAAGCTGCAATCGCAGTAGATCTCGTATCGTTCTTCCTTACATGCCTCGCGGCTTAGGTCCGCCAGCCGCCTTGGCCATGATGATCTGGTCCACACGGAGAACCGTGATGGCAGCGTCGGCACCCAGGCGAATAGCAGACATCTTAGTCTGAAGGTGGTCCCAAACACCCTTTTCCAAAGCGTCCGGGATTACGTGGGACTCCTGCTCATTCTGCAACACACGTCAACAACAGTCAGTTCATCATAGTCACTACAAAACCCACTAAACACAATACACTTACGTCAACATCAACACCAGCGTTAACGTTGCCACCCGCGTGAGCAGCATACAGGCTAGAGATAACCTCAGTGGCCATCTGACCCGAGTTCTCGGCCAGAATCCGAGGCACAACTTCAATAGCTTCACCGAACTTCTTAATGGCGTACTGGTCAAGACCGGGCGTAGCCTCACCGAAGCTCTTGATCTGACGTGACAGCTCAATCTCCGTGGAGCCAGCTCCAGACACGAATCGGCCGTCCCGGCACACAGACTTTACACAGTTCACGCCGTCATCGATAGCACGTTCAATGTCGTTCAGTACATTGTCGGTGCTTGCACGCAGCACAATCGTCGAGATCTTGGCGTCCTCCTCGTCCTGCTGGAAGACCGTCACCTTCTTGCCTCCGATCTCCTTGACCGTCACACTGTCACAGAAGCCCATCTCGTCAGGTGTGGGAGCTCCCAGACGGACCAGAGCGTTAGCGTTCACAGCACGGCACAGACGACGCAGCTCCCACTTGGACTGGATCTTAATAGCCATAAGGTTGTACTTCTCCAAGAAGTGGAGCGCCATCTCACTGATACTACCACCCGAGACGACAACTGTAGCGCCAGACTCGCTGATAGCACGGACAGCCTCCTCCAGGTGCTTCTCCTCGCCCTTGTTGTAGTTCATCAACTCCTCAGCGTCCTTAATGAGCACAGTGCTCTTGGCTTCCGTAGACGAGATCTCAATACCACAACCGAACACCGCGACCTTCGCCTTAAGCGCCTTCTTGACATTTCCCTCAGTGTTACGCTGGATGACCATACCACGAATAACAGTCGAGTCGTGCAGGTTGCCGCCCATGATCTTGGCCACGCGAATGTTGTCCACGTTGATCGACGGCTTCTTAGGAGCTGCAGGCATGACGTTCAGACAGGCCTCAGCCACGAGTTTGGCCAGCAGATCCTCGTATCCGTACTGCTTGGAGGCCAGCGACGTCTTAATGGCCTTCTGTAGCTCCTCCTGGTCACGCGGGTCCTTAACCTGCACACTTTGCAACTTCTGCAGGATCTCCTGGCATTTGTCGTGTGCCTTCTGGTAACCTGTGACGATCTCGCTGGCGTGCAGACCCATACGCAGCAGACTGGCAGCCTCCATGAGCAGCTCACCCGCCAGAGCCACCACGAGGCACGTGCCGTCACCGTAGTCGTTCTCCTGCATCTTAGCAGCCATAACGACCATACGAGCGGCCGGGTGGATGACCTCCAACTCCTTAACGATAGTAGCTGTGTCGCTCGTGACGAAGATGCGCTCCAAGTGGTTGATCACGAGCTTGTTCATGCCATTGGGACCCAGCGACGAGCGCGTGATGGCCGCCAGCTGCTTCACAGCGTCAATATTCTTGGCCACAGCCTCGTCCACACCTTCGAAGTGCTTGTGGCCGTCCTTCAGCAGCGACGACAGGCCGCCGGCCACGTTCAGTCCCATCGACTTGGACATGATTGCTCGCTGTGTTGCCTCGGCGCTTTTTGCTTGGTGAAAAAGATTCCCCTCCAAGCGTAGCGCCACAGAAGAGATACCTCTTCACGATTGGCTTAAATTTTGGACTTCTTTTCGACCTATCAGATGTTACTTAAACGTAACTAGCCCGTGACCAGCAATAAGCTGCAGTCGTTGATATCCCATCGACCACCATGGACGGCTTCTCGCTCAACATCTCGGCGTCTAGCGGCGCGCGCAAGCCTGCCAAGAAGAAGAATACATTCCGTGCCAAGCAACAGGCCAAACGCGCAAAGGCCAAGGCGAATAAGGCTGGAAAAGTGCCTCAAAAGCCGCGCAACCTGCAGGTTAGCGGACAAAGCCACGGTCACAAGCAGCATGCCGTCGGCGATGGCAACAACCAGCGCAAACCTGTGGCACACAAACCACAGCCGAAGATTGAAGCTCCAAAGGTTGAAACACCGACGGTCGATGTGATCGCTGCTGAGCCTGATGAGACTGTGGAGGTTGTGCCAGTGCAGAAAGAGGAGGATTCGGAGGAGGACGAGTCTGAAGAGGAGACACAAAAGGCAAAGGAAGCGGAAGTGGCAAAAAGTGATGACGAATCGGAAGAAACCGAGAAGTCCGCGGAGGTGAAGTCGAAGACGTTTGGCACGCGTCGTAACCCGAACAAAGAGGGCTACAATGTGGAGAAGTTCACTCAGGCAAGTGTTAAGATCGACAATGTGCTGTCCAAACCGTTGACGTCATCGTCCAGTGAGAAAATCTTTGCAGCTAATACATATACATTCGAGTCGATGCAAATGACTGAGAAGCTGGTGAATGTGCTCAAGAAAGATTCAGAGAGCGGCGGCTTCGGCTTTGCTCGACCGACCAACGTGCAGGTGCAAACGATTCCATCTGTGCTGAAGGGCAACGATATTCTGGTGAAGAGTGAAACAGGATCCGGTAAGACGCTCTCGTACTTGTTGCCTATCGTTCAGAAACTGCAGGCGGTGTCCCCACGTATCCAGCGGCAGGATGGCTGTATGGCGCTGGTATTAGCCCCAACACGAGAGTTGTGTACGCAGATTCTGGAGACTGCAAACAAACTCATCCAACCGTTTGTGTTCCTGGTACCGGGTGCCATTATTGGTGGTGAGAAGAAGAAAGCGGAGAAGGCACGATTGCGCAAGGGCATTACCATCTTGATCGCTACGCCTGGTCGTCTAGCGGACCACCTCGTCAACACTCAATCATTCAACTACTCTCGTCTGCAGTTTTTGGTGCTTGATGAAGCAGATCGACTACTAGATATGGGTTTCGAGAAGCAGATCACGCAGATTCTGACCATTCTGGACGGCAAGAAGACGCCTCAGAAGCGACAGAACATTTTAGTCTCTGCAACTATCAACAGCGGAGTTCAGCAGCTCGCGAAGATGAGTCTCTCCACCCCCGTACTAATTGATGCAGACGCGGTTACTAGTGGTGAAGAACCACCGTCGGAGATCAAGCCTGCTAGTCAGGAGAAGTTCTCTACACCTCACCAGCTGATGCAGCACTTCATGCTCGTCCCAGCGAAGGCGCGTCTGTGTGCATTGACTTGCTTCTTGCGTGAAGAACTGCGTCACGCCCCTCGTGATAAAACCAAGGATGGCGGTCCCGGCAAATGCAAGATTGTGGTCTTCCTGTCCACCTGTGACGCCGTAGACTTCCACTACGCTCTGTTCCGCAAATGCGCTTGGCCATCAGGAAAAGGATCGTCGGATGAACCTGAAAGCAGCGGAAACAACGGAGTAGCGTCGCTTTTTGGAAGCCAAGGTCCTGTATTCCGCCTGCATGGCAACATCCCCCAACAAGAACGTGTGACGACGTTCAAGAGCTTCTGCTCTTCGAGTTCCGGTGTGCTACTGTGTACTGATGTTGCTGCTCGTGGTCTTAACTTGCCTACTGTCAAGTGGATCGTCCAGTATGATCCGCCAACTGAGACGCGTGACTACGTGCATCGTGTGGGTCGTACAGCCCGAAGTGGAAACCAAGGTAGCAGTCTGCTGTTCCTGATGCCGTCTGAATCGGAATACCTGAACTATCTGAGCAAGCAGGGCTTGCAGCTGAATGCTCTGAGTCTAGAGAAGACCGTCGCTCGTGTTGGTAAACACGGGGGATTCCTGACCACGTCTCGCAAGAAGCTGCTTCACGAGGTAGTGCAGAGCGATCTACAGTTCCTGTATGAGCAGACGCTGTTGGCAGACAAGGAACTGTTTGAATTGGCTTGTCAGGCTTTCCACTCGTTCGTGCGAAGTTACGCCACGCACTCGTCTGACACACGAAACATTTTCCATGTCCGAAGTCTGCACTTCGGTCACGTTGCCAAGAGCTTCGCTCTGCGTGAACCGCCTGCGTCGTCAAAGTTGCGTGACACTGGACGAAATGCCAAGAAGGGTACGCTCCAGAAGCGCAAGGAGCGGGATGACAAGCAACAAGCTGTAGTCGCTAAGAAGCAGAAGAAGATGCGCGACGAGAAGCGCAGGTATGCGCAGAACGTCTCGGAGTTCGCCGACTAGTCCTGCCTTAACAAACAATATAGAACACGTCGCACGGGAATGCATAAAAGTTATCAAGTATCGATCAAGTGCTCTTCCTCTTCTTGGACTTCTGCTGCTTGGCTTTCCCCTTCTTCGCTGGTTCCTGTTTCTTTGTAGTCTTCGTTTTCTTCTTCGACTTGGGAGCAAATAGCGGTGCGAAGACTTCAGCAATGTCTGTGTCCTCATCAATCTCAATAACCTTGCCGTCCACAGCAATTGGCAGTCTTGGAAACGCACTACATAGCACGATATCGTAAGTAACTGAACAGAATCGCAACCACATTGGCAACAGATACAGCAACTTACCGGAGAAGCGTTTGCAGTGCGAAGGCAGCACTGAAGCATTGCTGAGCCAGAATGCTGTCCTCCGTCTTGTGGCCATTCGCCTCCAAAAAGTGCTGCACTACCTGCTTAGCCGCGATTGGGTTTTCCAGCTGCAGCTCAATGAACCGAGCAAATTCGTGCACCACAGCTTCGCGCTCATGCATCCACTGCACTTTCTGCACGGCAAACACTCGGTTCTCCATGTCGAATGTGCCGATAACCTGTGGCTCCAAGTAATCTCCTTCTTCTTCCTCATCGTCCGTGACTTCTTCGCTCTCTGTTTTGCTAGGCTTGTCGCCGTTCGGTTTCTGGCTGCGCACAAGCGCCAAGAGCGTTTGCCGCTGCTCCTCCGTCTTGCAAAGCGATAGAATCAGATCCAGTCCATACTCAATGCCCTTGGGCAGCACTTGGGGGCGCAACGAAGGCGCTAGAGTCGTCACGACACTCTGTAGTTGCTGCACGGCGGCCAGTGGGTCACTCGCCATGGTTGGTGATGATCAATAATGGTTGGCTTTCACTGTTTGTTGGGACTCTAATTATAGTCCAAATTGGTCACAAATTTGACCTGGTTTTTGTAAGTCGCACAAATAGGGTTTTAAATCCTTGGGCAATCATGATGGCTGCGGCGTTGCCTGTAGAGGGCGAGGAAGCGGTGGACGTACAGCTGATTCGGCGACGAATGCAACAAGGTTTACCACCTCAAGACGTCCAGGAGTATCTATGGCGTGTGAGGCTTGAAGCAGAGGGAATTCCAGACGTTGTAGTGGCTCCAGACGTCGATCCGAGACAGTTTGATGCTCAACAGACCAGTAATATGCCAAAGCTACAGACTTTCGGTCTCGAGGAGACGGACCCGAAACGCACTCCGGACAACAAGTGGAAAAGAGATTTATTGGCGGATTTTGCCGAGTTAAGGCAGTTAATTGCACGGTGGGAAGCTATCGGAGCGCCTAAAGCGGAGACTGTGAGAGATGGCGACACTCCGATTGAGATCTTGCGGACGAAAGTGCCCAGAATGAGCGACGAGGAAGGATGGATCGGTTTTTTCTTTGGCAAACCAGGGACGGAGTTGTCAGCTACTCCACCGCACTTGCGACTACTGCTGCAATTTGATCAGGTACTGACAAGAAGGCTGCTGGACTATCATGCTGCTTGGCTCAGCGAGGAAATGACACCACTATCGCGAGCTCGAGCAGTTTGGATATATGCATTGCTGGCTCGGCTGGATAAACCGGTTCATGCTAGTGTGGCAGCTACGATTCGACAGATTCTACGACGCTGTTGGACGCTGAGATCTGAGCTTGAAGCACCGCCGGAGATTCAGCTGAAGTCGCTGAACATTCTTATTGTCATTGCTGGGGATTTCTTTGGCCAGTTGCATGACTTGGAGTAAACCAATGCTGAGAGCTTGCGAGAATGTGATGCTTTCAGTTGAGGGCGCAGCACTTCGGGTGCTTAGCATCAACAAACGGTGTTGTGGTCGACGCATTATATTGATACCTGCAAGAATTGTACAATATGCGCTTTGGTGTTGTTTTTTGTTTTTGTTTTGAGTTTCTCATTCAATACAGTCACAGCACAACTCGAAATGATCGTCAGGGCGGGTAGTTCTTTCTCGGTCGTTGAGCGCTAAGTTGTACTAAAACTCCGAGCTCCCTGCGCTGGAGGTGAGAGAACATCAGAGCGCAGTCGCGTAGTTTTTTTTTTTTTTTTGATAACCTTAACGCACGACATTAGGGATACTACCCACAACTGGAGTGCAAGTATGCTTGATGCTCTAGCACCACGCAATAGGAATGCGAACTTTTTTCCATGTGCATTCACAGCTGTATCAGTTGTTGTAGTCTTATTGGTTGCTTCACAGCATTCATACACCGCAATATATTTTCGTATTGTTTTCGTTTCTGGTAGAAGATTTAGCTGCTATTGGTGCTAACCTTCATGCATCTAGTATTAATAGAAGTACACTGCAAAAATGCAACATATATATTCATTCTGAGAGAAGTTTAGCTATTCATCTCTCAAGTAGAAATACAACAACAGAAGTATCGCAGTCTGCTCTCACTCACGCCAAGTTGGCGTCGTTCATCACGAGCTATCTCTGCACGCCCTTGTTCTCCTCCTTGGCGAACAGCTCGTCGAACTGGCGAGACTGGTTGATCGGGTTACGCTTCAGATTTGCCATACGGAAACGGAACTGTCGCCATGCAGACCCACGATCCTCCCGCGGCTCCAAAGTGTGGTGCAGTGAAGTAAAACGTTCTTCCTTGTTCACGTACACGTCGGGGTTCAGGAAGAGGTAGCGCAGCGACATACCCGTGGCGGCTACGGCGGCGAAGGAGGCACAGAAGACGACTGGGAAGGTGCCTTTGTCCGTGGTCCAGAGGTTGAGCAGCTTGTAGCCTTGACGCTTGACGATTTGTACCATGACGAATGGAATGGAGTGGGTGTGGAGGTAGAGCTGGTATGTAGCTGATCTGGGTTGGATCGATGAGCTGTGGCTTGAACGGATCAGTCGAAGTGATCGATCGAGGAAAAGTTGTAGAATGAAACGAGTAGCGGAGTTTCTACTTATTGCTCACTCAGACGTGAAGGTGGTGCTTGCCGCATTGCACACGGTGTCGATATCAACACGGTTGAACACCGTTTGTCGTTTTTGCATAGACACGAGAAGGACACAGACACGCACCGAATTGGAAAGTCATACCGGTATATTGGATCGTCCCGTGTCGGATTTTGTCACCCCGAAAAACCCAATCATGAAAATCCCACGGCCAAGATTCAACAGTTTTTTTTGTAGGAAATATTATACTGGTTTAGCTCGATAAGCTAGTACTTCTTCTTACCCTTTTTATGGTGAAAGCCATTATTGGTTTAGATCTTGTCACATTCTTCATGTAGTCTCGCGACGTTGTTGGTGCTTCACTTGGTATCCTTCAGCCATGAAAAAATTGAAGCTGAAATCGGCACCTGCGCACATAGATATAGTTTTAGAGTCCGCAGCTTGCTGAGCGGGAAAACGATAATGGGTAAGATCCAAGCACAAGTACGAACCGAGATGGACGAGTGACACTTCCATTACGTATACGAAAATTATGGCCAACTTGGTTTGTACCATACCTGCCTGCCTTTCCAAGACGAACGCGAGCTGTCGAAGAGACAAAAAAAACAAGCATTCGTTTCAGAATGGCAGTCGCCAACGACAGATATGCAAGTTCCAGCGCGCCGTATACGAGCACATTCCAGACAGATGAAAGCAGGTCATCACTTGAAAGGCCTGCCAGCGAAGGGTAGTATACGCTGTTTGGCAAATGAAATAGAGCTACTCAGTGAATACCTACATACAGAACACAGATCACAAACGATTTAGTTCGCATTCTCGACAGTGACAACAGCACTAAAATCTTACTGTAAATAACAGGTAGCGCAACTTCAGCATATTCCACCAACACGAGATATTCCGTTATAAAGAGGACGCGTGTGCTTTTCTGGAGAACTGGTCGCGCTCAACACGAGAGAAAAAAACTGTCGAGACCAGTAGCAATATATCGGTGCCCGATCTCATCTTACGTTTGTCGGGATTCTCACCTACTTGCATTGGGACGACTTGACCGCTTTGGAATATCTGCTTTACAATCATATTCGCGGTATGACCCGAATCCATTGCTTTTACTAGAGTAGGACTTCTCTTGGTATCAGGTGCTTTATCACTCTACGAGTTTGTATGTCTCGTCACTACTTCCGGACGGGTGACGAGCACGTTTTCGTTGTCTTCGAGGGTTTCCTTCTCGTTTATTTCAATCATTTTCAACGCCACAAAATGCTCCTTTCCCATAGCATGGTCTGCTGAGATCTTGATCATGAGCGCATTAATCTCGTTGAGAATATCCAGGACATCGAGCATAGAGACCCAAAAATGCACACCATCAACAGCCATAATTGTGGCAGTCGAAGTCCAGGACGATGCATTTTGAAGAGCGGTTGAGACATAAAGTGCGTTAAATATTTCCACATTAAATATCACTGCTTCAGGCGTCAAGTCATAGTGATTTGCGAGTGCACGGCTAATTTGCGATGAGCTTAATGGTAATCACTATCACAGGTCACTATCTCCTTTGGTAGCAGCAAAAAAAAATGATTAGGTCACGTGACCAAACATCGTTTGATCACGTGAAGGGCAACCCGCAATAATATAATATTCACAACAATCAAATGCAAATGTGGTTGTATTCAGTATGACTAGCAGTCTAGGCGGCATTTGATTTTTCTTCATCGTCTTCAATCTCGTAGTCAAAGGAAGTGTCGTACACAATGCCCAGGTCTTCGTCTGAAAGCTCCGAGTCAGCGTCACTACTACCACCGCCAGGTGCACAGTCATCGTCGTCGTCACTGGAGGAGCTATCAGTATCGCCAGTGTCAGGGAGAGTTGCCCGTCTCGGAAAGCGCATTGGTGGCCTCAGAGGGGCTTCAGCATCGCCGGATATTATGCTTTTACGGAGTACGACATACTCCCTGGCTAGCTCCTCAATAGAGCG